TATATATATATATCTCCAGAGCACAATAGGCTAGCTAAAGTGACAGTACAGCAGTAGCCACAATTGTTTATTGTGCGTTAAGCCATGCTGCACAAAGTAAACCCATTTATTTTCAGTGGCACCTTATTGCAAGATAGAATGACCCTTTTTAATGCAGTATGTGTGTTATGGCACACCCCAGCACAGTTACATTAGCTGCTATTATAATTGTGCATTTGGGAGCCATCCTAAATGAGCTGTACAATGCTGCATGGTACCATAACACACATTTTACCATCACCTCATCACACTGGTTTGGAGTGGCCCGTAAAATTAAAGCAGAAAGTCCATGTTATTTTATACATTCTATCATCTGCTGTAGTAAGCTCTGTTCAGAAAGACTGCACTACGGGCTACAGCTTTTTTTCTTAGTGGATATACTAGCTAAAAGTATGTGTGAAAATTTTCCCTCTTTTTTACCAAGAAAATGAACATGGTGTGGCCTTCTGGGGTTTTAATCTCATTCCCTATTTCATTTGTTATTGTACGTTTTATCTAATGCCATTTTCAACAGTACTCAATTCCAAAACACAGTGGTAGTAAACTGAACAGCTTCCAGGCATTTCCAATATTCAGGGGGACCATGTGACTTATTTCACAGCTGAGCTGGGAATTAACTGTGAAGCTGCGTCTGAAAAGCAATAATTTTTAAAAATGGCCTATTTGCAGAAGATCTGTGATTTTAATAGGATATTTTTTCCTTTGTGTAAAATTGTTGATGTTTTCAGCAAGCATGTACAGTATATTAAAAATGTGTAATGTTCCTTATCTTTTTTTTATTTTTTTTTTAGCATAGGTATAATAGAAGGTAAAAAATGTACATTGGGCATGTACAACAATGACAGTTGAAGACAACCCCTTAATGACTTGTTTTCCCAATGGACATTATAAAATATGGATCCTGCAGGGCATAAACACAGCTTGCTTGTTTCAAGGTCAAACATTGTTGGTCTTGAAATTTGGTAACCGCAGCTGACAGTGACATTGCCAGTGGTCCTGATCCTCAGTGTGATAAACAGTTCTGTGACTCTGTATAATTGTTCTTTTAAATATTAAGGAAATAAAAAATATTCAAAAGCATGCAGGTGAGCCGGCCATGGACCGAGAACCAAAATATGTTTTTCAGCGAATGCAAGTTTAATTATAATTATTTTGCATAATAGGTTAAAGGTAAACTCCAGATGGGATTGAAAGGGAAATCCTAAAATCCTAAAATGCATATAGGGAGCCAATACATCCTGATCAGGGCCTCAGTTATTACTCTAGGTCAGCCTCTCAACCTTTTCACCACAGAGAAACCCTTGAAATAACTTTCCGGTCTCAGGAAACTCCTGCTAATGTCTATAATTCTACTACTCATGATACATTACTGTGATGGTCAGTGGGAATAATGCTCCTTACACAATGGGAAGAACTCGTGGTCAATGGGAAGAATGCTCCTTACACTGGTGGTCAATGGGAAGAATGCTCCTTGCACTGGTGGTCACTGGGGAAGAATTACCCTCTTACAGATAGCCAAGGATAATCATCTGTATTTAAATGTGAATAAGCTACAGATCCCAACAAAAGCACCACCTACCTGGAGTTTGCATGTTCTCCCTGTGCCTGCGTGGGTTTCCTCTAGGTACTCCGGTTTCCTCCCACACTCTAAAGATATGCTGGTAGGTTAATTGGATCCTGTCTAAATTGGCCCGTGTATGTATGAATGTAAGTTAGGGACCTTAGATTGTACACCCCTTGAGGGTTAGGGACTGATGTCAATGTACAATATATATGTAAAGCGCTCCATAAATTAACGGCGCTATATAAGTACCTGAAATAAATAAGACAAAGGGGCTGGTTGTGGATTTGAGAAGGAGGAAGGAACCGTTGACACCCGTCTCCATCTGAGGAGTGAATGTGGATGTAGTAGAGAATTACAAGTGTCCAGGGGTACACATACAGTAGATAATAAGCTGGACTGGAGCAAGAACACCAAAGTGCTCTATAGGAAGGGCCAGAGCCACCTCTATTTTTTTTTGAGGAGGCTGAGGTTTTAACATCTGACGGACGATGCAAAGATGTTTTATGAGTCTGTGGTAGCCAGTGTTCAACTGTATGCGGTTGCATGCTGGGGAAGCAGACTTAAGCTGGCCATACACTTGTAGATTTTTGAATGAGAATATTCATAAGAAAAGTCATATGAATATTCTTTGCATATTCGATGATTCGGTGAATGGACAAATGTCATTTAAAAATTATCTTTTGCTTTTAACATTCGATTTTACAATGAATGTAATTTCTGAATTATAACCACATAAACTGTACAAAAACTAATTTGATCGAGAAAAGTTTTTCTTCCTGCCCCTTTGAATTTTTCTGTCAAAAACAAACATTAATTTGAGTCCACTAACGATTAGAAAATCAAACAAATATACTTGAAATGAAAATTCTCGAACGAAGATCTATACGTGTATGGCCAGCTTTAGGGTAGGTGACACCAAGAGACTTAATTAACTGAGCCAGTGATGTTGTTGATTGAAGTTGAAGTATTTAACAACACTGTTGGAGAGGAAAATGTTGTCCAAGGTACAATCTTGGATAACTCCTCCCACGCACTCCACAATACACTGGTCCTGAAGAGTACCTTCAGTGATAGATTTTTACAACCACAATGCACCACAGAACAACACAGAAAATAATTTTTACCCGTGGCCATCAAATTATCTAATTCTTCTCTGTGAGTGCTGGATGTGATGATTTAATTTGGTTTATGATTCATATTTTTATGTATTTTTTATAATATGTGTAATTTTTGGGTAATGTTGGAGAAAGTGGTGTAATTTGTATGTTGGTAGTTTGATTTTCTGTTATTTTTTAATCTGTGTTATTTCTTCTATGTAGTATTTTAATAGATGGTATGGTTGGTTACAATACAGTATTAGTTTAATTTTATGTGGTATTAATTGCCGTTATTTGTAATTTTATTGTTGTGCCTTGTTATTGTGATTTTTGTGTTGTCTTGTTGAATGCAATTCTACTTTAGTAATTTCCCACTGGGATTAATAAAGTATTCTGAATATGAATTTGAATAGCTAAAAAGATCAATGGTGTCAGTGGGAACTTATCTGAGAGGCCGAAATTGCTAATGGAACCCCTAGCTACCCCTGGAGGAACCCTATGGTTCCAGGGAAACCATACAACAGGTGGAGCACCAATCCATCCCACCCTTTTTGTCAATATTCTGGGAACCCTTTACCTTCTTGGTTGGAATGAAAGAGAAATATTCCTACACATACTCACTTAAGGCTCCTTGCTCTCCCTCATATGTAGAATATCTGGAAATTGTCAACCACAACTGCCTGCTCTGCATTACTGCAGCCCAGTGAGGCTTAATAAGAATCACTAAAGGGAAACTACACTTTGCACATGCAGGACAAAGCAACGGTTTTGCTTAATAGCCCTATAAACAGCATATGATATTGCATATCTGTGACCTTGAAACAAGCATGTTGTGTTAATGCCCTGCAGGATCCATATTTTATTATATCCAATGGGAAAACATGTCATTAAGGGGTTGTCTTCCTCTGCCTTTGTTGCACATGATTAAAATACATTTTAACTTCTATAATAGCTATGTCAAATAAAAACAAACTCTAAAAAAATTTTAAAAATTACATTTTTTTAGATATACATCTATACTAAAAACATTAACAATTTTACATACAGGGAAAAAAGCATATTCAGATCATATTGCGCTTAGCAAGGGAATTTTTTCCAGATTATAGTGAATGTGGTGAAATTTAGCTTTGTAAAGAACAACCAACGACATGGATGAAAAATATTTAGAAAAGCATGATTTCATGTACAGGAATGGATGCTGGAAGTCAGCAAATCTTCATCTCAAACTCCAGTGAAAATTCCTTTGCAAAGCAAACAGCTCATTTTGCTTTGGGAAATCAACCCCTAAGTCTTGAACAGAAAACATTATGTAAGTGTATTTATAAAATCGATTATAAAATAACTTCCATTCAAACACAACAAAAAATCTGCAAGTTTGGATCAATCATGAAAAAGTATGAGCATTCATTCCTGTTCTGAAACTTCTTTTATGTAACCTAATTACTAATCTTCCACAAGTTCATCTGTGGTAAAGAGTCAGAATAGGTGTCCAAAGGAATGGACAGCTTGAATAAATGTAACTATATACACTATATTTCCAAATGTATTGAGATGCTTGCCTTTACATGCACTTGAACATTAATGGCATCCCAGTCTTAGTCCGTGTTGTCTTGTATCAATATCCTACAGTCCGTCGGGTTCAATATTGAGTTGGCCCACCGTTTTCAGCTATAACAGATTCAACTCTTCTGGGAAGGCTGTCCACAAGGTTTAGGAATGTGTCTATGAGGATGTTTGACCATTCTTCCAGAAGTGCATTTGTGAGGTCAGGCACTGATGTCGGACTAGAATGCCTGGCTTACAGTCTCTGCTCTAATTCATCCCAAAGGTGTTCTATCAGGTTGAGGTCAGGACTCTGTGCAGGCCAATCAAGTTCCTCCACCCCAAACTCATTCATCCATGTCTTTATGGACCTTGCTTTGTGCACTGGTGTGCAGTCATGTTGGAACAGGAAGGGGCCATCCCCAAACTGTTCCCACAAAGTTGGGAGCATAAAATTGTTCAAAATGTACTGGTATGCTGACCCCTTAAGAGTGCCTTTCACTGGAACTAAGGAGCCAAGCCCAACCCCTGAAAAACAACCCCACACCATAATCCCCCCTCCACCAAACTTTACACTTGGCATAATACAGTCAGGTAAGTACCATTCTCCTGGCAACCCAGACCTGTCCATCGGGTTGGCAGACAGAGAAGCGTGATTGGTTACTTCAGAGAACATGTCTCCACTGCTCTAGAGTCCAGTGGCAGATTGCTTTACACCGCTGAATCCGACGCTTTGCATTGCACTTATTGATGTAAGGCTTGGATGCAGCTGCCCGGCCATGGAAACCCATTCCATGAAGCTCTCTATGCACTGTTGTTGTGCTAATCTGAAGGCCACATGAAGTTTGGCTATTAACTCTGCAGACAGTTGGTGATTTTTGTGCACTGTGCGCTTCAGTATGCGCTGACCTCACGCTGTCATTTTATGTGGCTTACCAATTCATGGCTGAGTTGTTGTTGTTCCCAGTTGCTTCCACTTTGTTATAATACCACTAACAGTTGACTGTGGAATATTTAGTAGCAAGGAAATTTCACGGATGGACATATTGTACAGGTGACAACCTATCACGGTACCATGCTTTAAAATATTGAGCTCTTGAGAGTGACCCATTCTTTTACAAATGTTTGTAGAATCAGTCTGCATGCCTAGGTGCTTGATTTTATACACCTGTGGCCATGGCAGTGACTGGAACACCTGAATCCAATGATTTGGAGGGGTGTCCCAATACATTTGGAAATATAGTGTATATATCATTAGTGTATATACAGTGCCTTGAAAAAGTATTCATACACCTTGAAATTTTCCACATTTTGTCATGTTACAACCAAAACGTACATGTATTTTATTGGGATGTTATGTGATAAACCAACACAAAGTGGCACATAATTGTGAAGTGGAAGGACAATTTTTTACAAATAAATATTAGAAAAGTGTGGCGTACATTTGTATTCAGCCCCCCTGAGTCAATACTTTGTAGAACCACCTTTCACTGCAATTTCAGCTGCAAATCTTTTTGGGTATGTCTCTACCAGCTTTGCACATCCAGAGAGTGAAATTGTTGCCCATTCTCCTTTGCAAAAGAGCTCAAGCTCTGTCAGATTGGATGGAGAGCGTTTGTGAACAGCAATTTTCAAGTCTTGCCAGAGATTCTCAATTGGATTTAGGTCTGGACTTTGACTGGGCCATTCTAACATATGAATATGCTTTAATCTAAACCATTCCTTTGCAGCTGTGGCTGTATGGCTCTGGCTGTATGTTTAGGGTTGTTGTCCTGCTGGAAGATGAACCTCTGCCCCAGTCTCAAGTCTTTTGCAGACTCTAACAGGTTTTCTTACAGATTGCCCTGTATTTGGCTCCATCAATCTTCCCATTTCACCAGCTTCCCTGTCCCTCCTAAAGAAAAGCATCCCCACAACATGATGCTGCCACCACCATGTTTCACGGTGGGGATGGTGTGTTCAGGGTGATGTGCAGGGTTAATTTTCCGGCACACATAGCATTTTGCTTTTAGGCCAAAATGTTAAATTTTGGTCTCATCTGACCAGAGCACCTTCTTCCACATGTTTACTGTGTCTCCTACATGGCTTCTCGTAAACTGCAAACAGGACTTCTTATGGTTTCTTTCAACAATGGCTTTCTTCTTGCCACTCTTCCATAAAGGGTAGATTTGTGGAGTACATGACTAATAGTTATCCTGTGGACAGATTCTCCCACCTTAGCTGTGGATCTCTGCAGCTCCTCCAGAGTTACCATGGGCCTCTTGACTGCTTTTCTGATTAATGCTCTCCTTGCCTGGCCTGTCAGATTAGGTGGATGGCCATGTCTTGGTAGGTTTGCATGATGGACTGAACAGTGCTCTGTGAGATATTCAAAACTTGTGATTTTTTTTTAAAACCTAACCCTGTTTTAAACTTCTCCACAACTTTATCCCTGACCTGTCTGGTGTGTCCCTTGGTCTTCGTGATGCTGTTTGTTCACAAATGTTCTCTCACAAACCTCTATTTACTAATTAGGTGACTTCTGAAGGCAGTTGGTTCCACCAGATTTTAGTTAGGGGTATCAGAGTAAAGGAGGCTGAATAGAAATGCACGCCACACTTTTCAGATATTTATCTGGGAAAAATGTTGAAAATTGTTTATCATTCTCCTTCCACTTTACAATTACAGTATGTGCCACTTTGTGTTGGTCTGTCACATAAAATCCCAATAAAAATACATTTACGTTTTTGGTTGTAACATGACAAAATGTGGAAAAGTTCAAGGGGCATGAATACCTTTTCAAGGCACTGTATATATATATATATATATATATATATATATATATATATATAATATATATAGTGTATTATATCATGGTGTAGGGTTGTTTTTCAGGAGTTGGGCCTGGCCCCTTAGTTCCAGTGAAGGGAACTCTTAAGGCGTCAACATACCAAGACATTTTGGACAATTTCATGCTCCCAACTTTGTGGGAACAGTTTGGAGATGGCCCCTTCCTGTTCCAACATGATTCCACACCAGTGAACAAAGCAAAGTGCATAAAGACATGGATGAGCGGGTTTGGGGTGAAGGAACCTGACTGGCCTGCAAAGAAGAATGGTCAAACATTCCCATAGACACACTCCTAAACCCTGTGGACAACCTTCCCAGAAGAGATGAAACTGTTATAGCTGCAAAGGGTGGGCCAACTCAATATTGAATCCTACGGACTAAGACTGGGATGTCATTAAAGTTCATGTGCATGTAAAGGCAGGCAACCCAAAACATTTGGCAATATAGTGTATATACGATAGTACTTAAGTAAAACACTGTGCCTAGTGGTACAAGTACATGAATAAAAAAAAACTTTCTATGGGAAAGCTGCTGACCAAAAAGTGTCAGAAAACCAGATACACAAAAATACATGTAAACAAACATAAAGGATAAACTCAATCATTACATACATAGCGTGTCATGATAAAACAGCTGGTTCATTATTGTGAAATAAATTTGGCCAGTCCATGCTGAAACAAACAAACGTAGATTCATGTATGGCTGGCTTAAAGCAGTAGTAAATGCATGGGCAGCATAGTGGCTAAATGGCTAAGCCTTCTGCCTCACAATGCTAGGTTTGAAGGTTCAAATCCCAGCCAGAGCAGCACCTGCCAGGAGTTTGCATGTTCTCCTTGTGCCTGCATGGGCTTCCTCTGGGTACTACAATTTCTTCCCCCACTCCAAAGACATGCTGGTAGGTTAATTGGATCCTGTCTAAATTGGCCCTAGCATGTGTATGTAAGTTAGGGACCTTAGATTGTATGCCCCTTGAGGGTTAGGGACTGATGTGAATGTACAATATATATATGTAAAGTGCTGCATAAATTGATGGAGCTATATCAGTAACATAAATAAATAAAATAACAGCATGAAGAAACTCCTTCCAAATAAACCAAGCACATGTGTGCAATGACATCACCACCAAGCCCCACCCAGCACATTTTATCACAGCCAATGTCTTCAGGGAACAGCAACTGTATATCATACCTGGTTGATGTTCCTGGAAAGTGGACCTTGACAACGGGTCTGCCATGCACCTACATGGCCCTTTCAATGATCAAGGGACTGGTCTGTATAATTTAGTGAGCTACAACTAATTGTCTCTTCCTCTCACATAAGCGCACCGGTCCTGGGTGCCCAACTATATGCTTCCTTCGGGGGCCATTCTATTTAGCTTATGAGAGCAACGTGCTGTGTCACTATTGTTACAATCATTGTCCATATATGCAAAGTTTGTGGACTGCCTTCTATGGAAATACACTGCTCTACCTCATACATATACACGTGATCTCCACTTGCTTTTGGGTCCCACGGTGAGAGGCTGCCCTGCTGCATTCAGAACACAGGAGGTCAGCCTCTCAGCACAGGGGCAATGCGGAAATCGCTTTGCATTTTCTGAATGAATGCAAAGCATTCTTTGATTGGACAAGGTGGAGAGATTGACCCCACCTCTCCACCTTGCCCAATCAGAAAACCTTTTGTGATCTTTTGTCTTAAGAAACAAGATATACCTGTGCTCAAATCCCAATAACCTGTACATGCATTTTTTATTGCGACATTTGCTGAAAAGGGTCATTAGCAATGTGCAGAGGGTTCCTCCAGATTTCTAATGTTAAGATGTGGCTACACTACTTTAGCACCTGATAGATAAATGCATGTACAAGCTATTGGGATTTGAGCACAGGTATATTTTGTTTCTGTTGCATAGTAGATCAGTAGCCAGACCTAAACCTAGTAGCTCTTCCCCACTTTGTGTCTGTTTGCCTCAGGTTGGCATTATGTCCACAGTAGCGTTTGTGTTGGCAGAGCAGAGTAGGACTGGCCAAAAAGGGAATTTTTTGATGCAGTTGTCCAGTTTAAACATGTATTGCAACTAAAACATTCCTATTTTTTATTGCAACGTTTGCTAGGGTATATAACAGTGTGCAGAGGGTTCATCTGGGATTTCTACTTTTGTCTTCAGAGTGCATCAGGGCACCCGCTCAGCATGGAACCCAAAATCTATTGGAAATGACTTGAGGTGCTGTGTCTACTTCATTGATTCCAGCTCCCAGCATTGACCAGGTATGGTACATATATAGTTACATTGGTCCAAGCTGGATCAATCTAACTGTGTTTAAAATATCCATACCCTGAATTCATAAAGGAAATAACTGAAATTTCCCGGGGACAAGGTATATGCATCTCAATTAGGAGTTCCAACTGAAATCCAAATGTTCGACTGCGTGTGAGTGGAGGCATTGCCATTGCAACATATACAGACATACATTCTCATACTTTCAAATAAGCAGAGACTAAGCTTTCAGTTACCATACAGGTACAAAATATGTTAGTAGCCATACAAGTGTGTTTCATTGGGTTACCAAAAGGAGTACAAAAGCTTTTCGGGTGTTACACTTCTCACTATTTTTCTTCACAGTTTCCCCGAAAAAGTAGTTTAGATTCAAACAAATTCCTGTGTGCTTAAGCCATCGAACTGTCAAATATAGACATTTGAAATGTTAACTAGTCCTTTGGACAGTCACCTAATGATTTCAGCCGCCTTTACAGTGTGGGTACTGTATGTTGTAATGATATTAATTTATACAATGGGGAATCATAACTTTGCTAAACCCAGCAGCATGTTTTTCTATGGCTTGCTGCCAAATATATTCAAAATCTGCATTAAAAATAGGCAAAATGTGAATATATTAGGATAAAACAGATGTTTCCATAGTGAATCCATAGTGAATGACAGCAGGGGTATTAAGATGCATGACTACAGGGAACAACATCAAGATAAGACCTACCTATTCAAATACCTGTAGTTAATTGGTATACAAAATGTTGAACAAATTGTTAATTTTAGAGCTCTAGCTGAAGGAAATAATTCAGATCGGGAAGATACTGTCAGGACAGCGTGACAGAGGGAGACAAGGTCTTGCAGCAGCAATGAAATATATGGTGCATTTAATAATAGCTAGACAGTTTATTCTATCTAATAGGACACCTATAATAAATAAATAACCCAGGCACAAAGAGATTCAAAGCCTAACAAGGTCACTTTTGTCTTCTACAACGTTAGCAGACACCTTCTAATACAGAGAGGGAAGGATTATTATTGAAACCAATAAC